AGAGCCCACGCTGGGGCACCGCCCCGCCCAGATGCTTCTCCCTGGAACTGGTCATGGGGCAACACCTGTTTCCAGGCCAAGCCGGAGCAAGAGAGGTAGGCAGAAAACAGGAGGCAAGCTTCAGTCCAGCTGCGGTGGGCAGGCCTTGGGACTTCACAGCTCCCTCCTGGACAGGTGACGAGAACAGCTGCTTGGACAAACAAGGAAGTAAATAAAAGCAGCTGCATCCCCCTCTACCCCAGCCTGGTGACAGAGTGAGGGGAGTGGAGAGCGGGAGGGGGAGGGAGTGATCGAGGACGTGGCCTCAGGGAAGGGGCGGGGCAGCAGCAGGGCAAGGGTGTTTGGGTTTGTGCAATTAGACAGTTGACAACCCTATAGCTAGCTCATAATTAGCTTGCTTGATTTCATGTTTGAGGTTCATCTGACCATTTAGTTCCCTCTGCAATGGCAAATGGGCAAACAGGTCAAGGGGCAGGAATTTCTTACCTTGACAAATATCCCAGGGAAGGGCTGGGCCCCATGGCTAGGGTTAGGGGACTGGGAGCCAGAAGCTGCTCCGGGAAGATTCTTGTCTGTGGAGTCTGAAGGGTTAAGGCGAGTCACAGTCACGCCAAGGAAATGGACTCAGATCCCACATACTGGATTCTGAGCAGATGAGGAGACTGGTTTTCCTGAAGTGTTTGACATTCACCTTTAAGAGACTCAGCCCCTTGAGAGTTTGGACTGACTGATCTCACCCAAGAGAGCAGGGCATGGCACCCTCCAGAACTTGGGGGTTCTGGCTCCTTTGCCCTGCTGGTCCTCTGCCAAGCAGCCCCCCAACGGGACTCCTCACTGCCCCCCTCCCCAGCTCACAGGATGCAGTGGTTTTTCCTTTCAGCTCTGCATCTGACTCTCCAAAGCCTGAACCCTGCAGCAAAATGTTCCTTAACATGAAAACTGCTCCCATCGCTCACCATAACCTCCAAAGGGTCACAAGCAGAGAGCCCCGGCAGCTTCTCCCTCCCATTCCTCCAGGGATGCAGCAGGCAGGAATACCTCAGCTGCTCCCCACCCCACAGACAGATACACTGGTTCAGTTTCCCTGCTCCCCATAACTGTGCACACAAACAGCAGACACCCCTCCCCCCCATCCCACTCAAGGATACAGCATGAGATCACCTATCTCTCACAAAAAGACAGAGTAAAGGAAACTCCAGATAAGGGCAACATCAACACGGGTGATTGGAGGCCTGGAGGGCAGGGGCCAGGGTTGCCAGGACAAGGGGAGACTAAGGCCTTGTCCACGCACAACTTTTGCACCACTGTAATTTTAAATTGGTGCAGCCCCTGTGTGTAGGCAAGCCCTAACACTGCTTAGCTGGGAAAGCAGAACAAGACAGAACAGGCTACACCGGGGATGTAAAAGGAGCCAGCTAGGCCCCTCTTTACTCCTGGGATTGGAGAACAAAGAGCAGTGAGTGAAAGCCAAAAGCTACAGAAGGGAAACCCAGGTGCTTCGGCAGCATCACGCTAGTCTGCGGACCTTGCTGCACCACGGGATTACTGAGGCAGGGCAGCTACCACACAGCTGGGGCAGGATTACATGGCTGCTCCCCCTCTTGCTTCTGGGGTCACCAGCTGGGGACCAGGAATGGCATCTCCCCAGAACAGGATGGCACAGAGGTGTCCTGTGAGGGCTCAGAACATCTCTGCAGCCCCCTGCATTGGCCGGTCTTTGGGAAATAGCAGGGAGGCAGTGACGGGGAGGGGGGGCCGTGCTGTCATTGTCTTTGATGGGTGTGCTACGCACACACCCTGGCTGCAAATCCTCTGTCTACACTGTCGCTGATAGGGAAGGGTGGGTCTCACAGGCAGATTGCAGCTAAGAGGGTGAGATTTATTGACAGACATTAAAACTTTTGCTGCTAGATTCTCTCATCCCTCCTCTTTGCCAGACGTCCCAATAACCCACCCCACTGATCAGCCCTTGGAGAGCAGGGAAAGGAAGCCATGGCTAGGTTCTGAACCCAAGTCACTGTCCCAAAGGCCCATTATCCCTCACTACCCCAGCTGCTGGGGGCACCTCCCTTCCCGGCTCCATTTCAGGGGGGCTGGCGGGGACAGAACAGGAACCGCTGCTGACCAGGAGCTCTGCAGCCCTGGGGCAGACAAAGGTGGCCCTCTCCCAGGGAGGTGCCAGATCCAGGCCCCCCAGGAGAACAGACAAGGAGACACTTTCAGATTCTCCTCCCTTCCCGGGCTGGAGGGAGCGGAGTTTGGAGCAGCCGGGGGAGGAGGGCCTGGGGCCTGCAGAGAAGCGGGGAGGGGGAAGCCCGGACCGGACCTGACCGGACCCAGTGCAGCCTCAGCCTCACCCTCCGCTTGACACCAACCTCGTTGAACCGGCCCAGTCGCTGCCACGTGCCTGGACATTCCCACGTGTGCACAAGCCCCGCCCCAATCCGCGGCTTTCTGCGGCTTTGGCCAATCCGCGTGCGGGGGTGGGAGTCCTGTGGGCGGGGCCTGTCCCGGGAGAGCGGGTTTAAAACTCGCGCGGGCGGCCATGGGGCCCCGGGGTGGCGTCATGCGGTCCCTGCTGGCGGCCAAGCTGGGCTGCCTGCTCGGGCTGCTGGTCCTGCCACTGCTCTGCGGGCTGCTCCCCGTGCGGCTGCGGGGCGCGGGTGGGTGCGGGCCGGGGTCTCCCGTGGGGAGGGGCGGGATCCTGCCCCACGCGGGCTGGGGGTCGGGATCCCGCGGGCCGGGGTCTCGCCCACGTGGACCGGGGTCTCCCGGGGGGACGGCCGGGATCCTGCCCCACGCGGGCCGGGGATCTCCTAGGATCCTG